AAATAAACATTTGAAATATATGAGTTTGTATGTAATGTATGAATATAATATACAAGTTTCACTTTTTAAATGGAATTACTGAAATAAATCTACTTTTTCATGATATTCTAATTTTATGACCAGCACCTGTATTTAGTGAATGTCCTGATACATCTCAATAATCCAGGTAGAGAAATCTATAAAATCTATAAACAGTTGAATTGATCCTCTGAATGAGTTCTTCTTTGAATGTCTGTGAACTCATCTAGAACAGTGGTTCCCAATCAGGGGTACGTGTACCCCTTGGGGTACACAAGCATATTACAGGGAGTACGTGGAAAAATTTCCCAGGTGTGTAAAAAATAAATAAAAATAGGACTGAGAAATGTAGAGTCCTACGATTTCTGCAACGTGGAAAATGCAAACAGAATCACAAAATTGACGCAGATTGGAATCCTGTATAAAATGCGAAATCTCACGGAATTTGCTTCTCTGTGGTAATGGATGTATTTTGAACAGTTCAATGTATTTTGGTTGTTGCTACTTCCTGCACCTGCCATTACCTGGTTTATTTATTTAATTACTTATTCTTTCAAGGCAACATATTTATCTTTATGTTTATTTTGAATTGAAAAGAATAAAATGCCTGAGAATTAAACGTTCTAGGGGGTTAAATATATAATTTAAATTAAAAATAAGCTGTTGTACATTATAGTTTCGGAGAATCATCATTACATTTGACAGAGGGGGTTCTAGTGGTATGACAAAATGGCTCAGGGGGTACACGAGTCTAAAAAGTTTGGGAACCAGAGGACTCAAGTTTTATTGGATATTTCAATTAGACAAATTTTGATTACACTTACACGTGTGTTCAAATAACTATAAAACTTTTGTGATTGGAGTTGTGTTAATATGGCAACAATTCATTAGCTTGTCAGTCCAGTCAGAAGCCTAAACTCTATGTCTCCGAACTGAGGCAGTTCAGTCTACAACAGGTAAGATCCTGATTGCTCATTCCTGTTGCACAGAACCAAAGTCCTTCTTCAGCTTCCTGACCTTCATTCCTTACATCTTTTTGAACATCTCTGTCTTTCTGCCAWWGGCTTAGATCTGAAATGACGTTCATTGAGCCAATCAGACTTTATTATGCTCACAGTACAAGTGAATGCAGCACTCATCTAAGGCACAATGCTAATTAGACTTGTCATTCAAAAAAGCCCTAGCTTTGGCAAACATAACCCTTATCTGCACACACTCTCACACTTTACTCAGTTTAATAAAGAAGAGGCTAAATTTTGATGCATGCACTCTGTGTGTGTGTGCACCAGAGCTAATACCCCTGTGGTCTTGTCTCTCACACTGCTTCACGTCCCTCATGGGTTTTCCTCCTCTTAGTTCTGTCAGATTGGATCTGTCTTTGTGACTCACACTGGAAGGCTATATTGAAATTAAGAGAAATGTACAATCATATTTATATATTTTTTTCAAACAAAATTAAACTTGGAGTGCTGATAGTAACACTACAGTTAAAGTGCATGTTTTACTGTATAAAGCCTAAATATTCCCAGAATTATGAGGGGAAAAAGACTGTGCAACTTTAAGTAAATTAAGTGCAGTTAACTCAAAGATAATATTGTCTAAAATTCTGGCATGAAAGGCAGCGGGCCATATTYATCGCTTCATGGATTTAACAGTAACGTTCAGACTTGTTGTGGGTCGTTTTTGAATGAACAGCATTTGTTTTATTTAGATACATTATTCTCATAATCCAAACGTTCAATTTTCTGATCAATGAGTGCTTACTTCAAATATTTCATCTCAGTTTTACCTTTGCAAAAGCAACTTTTCTCACTCAGCTTGCTTGTCATGGTTTGTGGAGAGACAGAAGCGCGCTCCCGACTTTAATCGGGAACGCGCAGAAAGAAGAAGGCGTGGCGGCGTGGGGTGTCGAACGGAAGGGGACGTACAGGAAAAGAAAAAGGCCGCTGCCTCACGCACGACGTACACGTCACTGGCGGAGCGAGGGGCGGGCGGGGGGAAGCAGAAGAGCAATGTTGCTTAATTTCCACAATTATTTATTCGTCCCTCTCTTCCCGTTTGTTACCGCGAAGCTATCGCAGTTTGAAGTGCAACTTCCTCCCAGTCATCGGGTGAGGGGTGTCTGTCGTGAGCACACACACTGTCAGTGACACACAGCCACTGAACTTCCCGTCAAGACGCAGCACACACACACACAAGCGTCAAGAGCTGCTGCCGTTTGTGACCAAAAAAAAAAAAGGGGAACGACATCGTGGGTTGTCAAGACGAGAGGACACACTCGACTCCACACGGCATTTGGASAGAGAAGGGGTGCCTTTGTCCTCCAGCTGAGCGCGAGCCGAGACGGTTCTGGTGTTCCGCTAATTAGCCTGCGTTGCTCCCTGCAGAGAGAGAGAGAGAGCAGGGCTCCCTCCCTGCACAGCCTCTGTGAGTCACTGGGCTTGTTAGAGCCCCAATCTGGACATTTAACCTAATTTTAATGCTACTGATGGGATATTTTAGTAAATAGTCCCCGTTTCCTTCTGCTACCCCCCGTCGGACCGTGGCTCGGATTTGCCCCTCGGGCGCTGTCCTCGCAGCGGGGGGGTACGGGATCACCACCGCCCGGTGAAGCTAACTCTCCAGGCGGTGGTTCGGTCTCTTTTGACCCTTGCCCCTGCCTCGCCTGTCTCCTTGCCGCTCTGGCCGACCCTAGCCGACTCCGAACACTATGGCAGGGAACCTGAAGAAAGGTGGGATTATCGGAATGATGAAGGATGCCTTCCAGCCACACCATCACCACCTCCACTCCCATCACCAGCCCGGGGTCGTGGACAAGAAAACGGTGGAAAAATGCTGGAAACTGATGGATAAGGTTAGTCATATTCAGCAGTAACTAGTCTAATCTTTACTATGTTGGTGCCCAGGGTTACTCGTGGCTGGCTGTAGCTAACTAGCAAAGAGCTAGCTAATCATCGCTCTGTTGTTGCTAATAGGTTAGCTTGTCAGCTGGGAGAAAACACGCGTAGCTAATTTTGAAAACTAACTTTATTATTTATCTCTGTACGTGTYAGCCATATTGAGAGAGGTCCTTAAACCAACTCAACTTTTACATTTGTGCAAAGACAACAAACAGTCGACTGTGTCTCGTAATCACATCTGTTGGCAAGTGAAGTTAAACTCTGCTAGTAATAGTCAGCCAAGGCTGAAGTTAGCTTCCGATTCGACAGATGTGTAAAAAGGCTATTTCACTGCTTTGTCAACATCTGGACTACATCAAATCAGCTTTGGTTGAGGATTTAAAACKCTTTGGATTAGATGTAGTACATGTATTAAGTACATATTCTTCAAAACACTGTTCTGTCATTTATTTAATAATAAATTTAATCTAACTAGTTTAGGATTATCACTTTTAGGTTTGACTGGTGTGAGTGCTGGGGTTTTTAACTCTGTGTTCACCTTAAAAAATAAGCAAAATGTTTTATTTTAAAAATTCCCATAGCTAAAATAAACATCACATAGATCTTAATCTGTGTTTTTTAAGAATATGTTTAATTTAACACAAACAACCCAGACTGTTCTGAACCTATTTGGTACAAATCTTTAAAATGCAGGGAACCAGCTCTATGCAACATTGAGTCAAAAGCTGCAGATTAGTTATGGCTTGAGTGTGCATCAGGGTAGTTGCTGGATTTTATTTCAAAATATTCAAAAACGTAAGGGTTTCATGAAAACCTTTTTGCTTTTAAGGCAGTGTACTTCATTTTACCATACAAGAACCAGACATCACAGGTTAGCATTCACCGATTTTCACGCTTGCRTTATTAAGTTCCTCTAAACTGATGCTGTAAAGTCAAAAACAATAGCCAGCTGTCTTTCAGCTTCTGAAACCGGTAACAAATTGCTGAGAATAACTAAATGTGTCTGTTTAACTGGGACAATTGTGTTCTTTGACGAGGACGACTCATCTCACAGYTTTACTTCTCGGAAAAAAGTCAGAAGCAGTTCGACCCCCAGTTTCCTGTGAGATTTTAACAGCAGTTTTTGTGTCTCTTCTTCCTATTTGAGACAGTTGTTTTTAGCTGTGATAAGAGAATCACCGTAGCAAGACCAAAAAAAAAAAAAAAAAAAAAAGGAAACCACATTCTGCTTTATTTTTGCTCAGTATGTGGTTGACTTTATCAAGAAGGCAGACATGAAACATCAGGTTTTCTCAGAGTCTACTTCTAAATGAAGTCAGGCATCTCTACCATGTTTTTTTCAATTGCACATTTGAACTGAAAGTTTGTAAACAGTTTGCAGGTTGAAAGACTCATACCATTTTCAAATGAATAAGACCAAGTATATTTTTTTTACCCCTTAAACTGGATGCAAAAATATGCAAGTACAAGCAGAGTACAATGTGCGTTAGTGTCAAAATTATGTTGCAGTTTTGCCCTGAAAGCACCTCTTGGTGCAGACTGTTGAAATCAGGCAAAGCTCTGAGACTAATTGTTTAGTTGCTCATGGCTCCTGTTTTAAGTGTCCAATTTAGCAAAGTTTGGTCATCAAATCTTTATGATAAATTATATTGATGTTGGGGGGCTTTTTGAGATGCTTTTACTAAAAGTACACTTTTAAAAATGCTAGATAATGAAAAAAAATAGTGCAAAAATAAGATCAGGTGAACAGACAGTTTTTGAGCATTTCCTTTGTTTTCATTATGTTTAAAAAATAAATTTCCAGTCAGCAAAGTGTTCGTTGTTAAATATACGACTATTTAATTTGAGTAATTATTTTTGTAYTTTGTTAAATGAGAAATACCTATTGACCAATATATAAAAAATGTATTGTATAAACATCATGAAATATCAAAATTCTGTCAGAGGCAGTTATGTGTTCATAGCATAATTTCCAACAATAAGGCCAACATTCAAATTGGAGGAACCAAGAATTGACCAAAAAAATAATCTACTAGATTTTTGATTAGTTAGTAGATTATTAATGATTAGAGAACCAGCTGTTAGCACAGAYGCCTTACAGCAAGAARGTCCTGGGTTCGATCCCTGGTACGGACCTGGGGTCTTTCTGTACGGAGTTTGCATGTTCTYCTCGTGCTTGGGTGGGTTTTCTCCGGGTACTCYRGTTTCCCCCACCCCCTAAAAACATGTACAATAGTTTGCCTTCAGGCCCAGGCCCCAATTGAAAAAGAGATCTGAGATCTCAACGGGACTTGCCTGGTTAAACTATGGTAAATAAATAAATAAATTAATTAAAAAAACCAAATGATTATTTGCAAAGGAAATCTGGTAAATATTACATGATCGGATAGTCATTAGCTGTGTTCTAACCCAACATGTCCTTTGAAGATATTCTTGTCTCGAAACAGAGAAAATCATGACATTAATTTGGTGTGTGTGCAGCTAACATTTTGAGATGTGAAAGTTGTGCTGCGTTGCAAAACTTGAGCAACCAAAAACCTTCACGAACTCAGACACTTGCTGACAGCAACTTTTAAGATTTCGGATGATTAAAAAAAAGAATTATGAAGAAGTCGGCTGGTTTCATCAAACTATATCAAACCTTTTCGAGCCAATTAAAAAGAAAAAATACATTTTGAGCAAAATTTGAAATAAAATGTTGATCCATTTGCCAACTTTCCAGTGCACTTTTTAAAATATCTTTTTAAGCCACAAATTTTACAAAAAAGCAGCATAAACACCTCCGTGCCCTTCACTGATGTAATTATCAGAATGCAGATTGCACTCCAAATTTAGGAACAGTTAATCAAACTTGTGGTGACTGAGCAACCATCTGTTCAGTCTGCACCAGTAAGGACAAGGAGCAGATCTGCAGCTGGCAGCCGTGCTATTGCTGCAGTGTCTAACGTAGTTGTGTATAACAACAAAAATAAAAATGTTTTCCAATGAATAAAAATTGGATTATAAATTTGTATTTTCAACTGATCAACAAAAATACTGGGTGCATATCTCAAAATATGTTGTGTTGACAAGACATCATTGAAACAGATTACATCAAAGAACTTCCTGGTTARATACATTTTTAAAAACATAGTTTGATAATGTCATTGACATGACATTACCTGCCAATCAAGCCAATAGGCTCGTCAGCAACTGAATTGAGCCCAAAACTAGTAATTGCTTCTCCAGCTTGTTCTGTATTTTTCATGTAAGGTGCTGAACTGAGATTCCTTGACTATTTTAACTTTTCTTTAACTTCATGAAACCCAGCCGATTGCCACTGGTTGTGCCTGACACCAGATAAGACAAATTTGCCAAGGTTACATCATTAGCATCATCCTCTTCCAGACTCACAGTTGGAGCGAACACAYGTTATTGCATGCCCATGTACGAAGCCACAACATCTGAGCACTCCCATCTGTCAGCTTGTGTTAAAGCTTCTGCTAGCTCGATACCCTCCAAACTACACTGCATTCCTCCCCTGCACTTTTTACTCTCAATCCAAGTCTTTCAAAGATGATCCTACACCTCGCACAGACATGTTACACTCACAGTGTTCAAAGGTTAATTTGCTGAAAGAAAAGTTGGCTTTGTAGGAACCTTTCAGACGTCTGTAAAAAAGCCTCCCTAGTGCTTCAAGTCAAGAGTAAATTTTCCCTTAGGCAGCAAAAAGATGCTGCTGCTCGTTCACTCCCCTGATATTTTCATTTCTCAAATATAAATGCTGATAAGTTTACCTGACAGYGTTTTTTCTAATTTGCAATAGGTGTTTTATGCACAAAGAAGTTGAACCAAATGAATGAAAATCACACAGCAGCAGCTTTGGTCATACCACACTTGTTGAGGTACAAAAAAAGAAGACAAAAATAGTTTGCTGATGAAAATAGCGGAGCACCTTGTACTGCAGCTTGTACAAAGGAAAAATAAAATCTCAAATAATATATTTGGAATTTTATACAACTATACTAAATGAGGTAACTACTTTTTACAGAACTTTTCCCATATTGACATCTTTGTAACTTTTTATGACAATGAAATAGCTGAGAACTTAAAAGAAACAGTTAATTTAWCTGTGGCAGTCATGAACTGAGTTTTCAATCAAATGATTACTGTCTGAATGTGTCATTTAAATTTGACCAGTGGTTCACGAGATATTTTTCTAACAGACACGTGCACATGGGCAGGAACTTTCACTTTGTGGTGATGGGCAATCATTATAAAGCCCTTGAAGTCTTTTGCTTTGTTTCCCATTTTCCCACAATGACAAACTATTAATTTTCATAAGAGCAATGCAACTCAGATCAGCATTCTTCCAATTACTGCAGTATTTCTTTCAACACACTCACATAGCTGGCAACAATAATTTTACAAAGAATGAGCCATGTCCTGTTTCTGACATGCAGTTGTTTACTTGCTACTGAATCAGACCATCAGGCTCTTTGTACATGAGCCTGGTGTAAATCAAAATGCGATGGCCTAAAAAAAAGTGTAATGCCTTTTTTTTTTTTTGTAATCAAACCATTATGATCCACATGAATGTTCACAGTGGTTAAAAACAACTGCAGTCGTGTTCATATGACAGATTGTTCAAGGCTTTTGGCCAGCATCTCTTGTAATGCTCAACGAAGTGACTCAGTCACAGAGCAGCAGTACAGTGAGATGGGTGGTAAAAGGCTGAAGATTACTGAAGATCAAACGTCTCTCTCTCTCAAGCGTGGAGGTGATTCCATCTGCTGTGGCTAAAAAGTGGGGGGCTTCGAATAAATAATTCCTAAAGAGCCGTCTACCATTTTTTGTTCATGTTTTAGAGCTCTGCCAAATTGTGTGTTTGTGAAGTAGTCAAAGCACGCGCTCGTGTTTTCAGGACAGCACTCTGTCCTTCAGCTGTTCAAATTTGCTTGATAATCATATTCAAATGTTAAGTAAAGAGAATTGGTGTTTCTGAGACAGAAGTGGAAGAGAATGCGCAGACTGAAATGGGGAAGTGTAAACACATCGACAGCCTTTCCAAACATTCTCAAGGACCAAACTGTGGGGACCCACATAATAAGCAATGTCTGGGTATTCATATAAGACTGCAACTTTTTTATTGTTGGTGAGAAAAGTAGTGAAAATAAGAAAAAGATGCTCTCCAAATTAGGGCTGTGTATTGACAAGAATTTGGTGATACGATATATACCACAACAGAGGGGTCACGATACGATATATCCCGATATATTGCGATATGCAAGGCGATATATTGTGATTTTTTTTTGTCCAAAAATTCTATTAAATAAAAACCTCTTACTGAAATAAAAAAAGAAAAGCTAATGTTTACTTACAATGCTAATGCTACCCTTACTCTCTGGCGCTCAAGAGGTAGAGGAGCCAAATGGCTGGCTCACTGCTGCCAACTAGTGGTCAGAGGCTGAACTACAACATAAAAATGAACGGTTGGCAAGAAAGTTGACATTTTAAACTTAATTAAAAATCGATACAGGGCTTTAGAATATCGATACAGTATCAGGAAATGAAATATCGCAATATTTCAGTGTATCGATATTTTCTTACACCCCTACTCCAAATGGCAGTCTTTTCAGTCTGCATTAATAGGTGCAGGTGGTCAAATTAAACCTTTTTCCACCCATTTGTGTAATTATTGAAACAAGTYGACATGAGAATAAATTCTTGTAACTTGTATATTTCATTAAATAATGCATAGACTTAAAATGTTGGAAGCCCTGGCCCTTTCTTTTAGGGTCATTTTTCTCAGTCGGCTGTTTTTATTTATTTTATATGTTTTCTGTTTGTTCTCACAGGAAATAGTTTAAGGCTTTATTCTCATTTAAAGCTTTTTCTATAGAAGAGTTTGTATCTGTCATTTAGACAGAAGTCCTTTCTGATGTACAAACTGACTACAGTTCCTCTGAAAGTTTCCCCTCACCTGTTTGTTTTTTCATCTTTACAAACAAGTGTCATTTTTCTTTCTCCTAGCCTTTTAAAACCAGTTTCTTATCGTTTAACCTTGTGTTGCCCCTCCTCCCCCATCCTCTTGTTCTGCAGGTGGTGCGGCTGTGCCAAAACCCCAAATTGGCTCTGAAAAACAGCCCCCCTTACATCCTTGACTTGCTGCCAGACACCTACCAGCACCTGCGCACCATCTTATCTCGCTATGAAGGCAAAATGGAGACGCTGGGGGACAACGAGTACTTCCGGGTCTTCATGGAGAACCTAATGAAAAAGACCAAGCAGACCATCAGTTTGTTCAAAGAGGGCAAGGAGCGCATGTATGAGGAGAATTCACAACCCAGGTTAGTAAAGTGGTTAAAAAAGTGATGTTAAGCCTTTTTTTTAACGGAGGTGAGTTTGACGTTTGAACTCTTCAGAAGCTCTTTCTGAATAATTTCATCTGAACAATGGCATCCATCTCTAGCCCTCAGGGTGATTGCGCCTCAAGATGTATGAAAAGAGGAGAGATATGTTGTGGTTTGAGCATGTGAGCATATGTGGTGAGAATGTTGCTCACTCTACAGCTGCCTGCCCGCCTGTCACTTTGCTTTTTGTGCCTCTTTATCTTTACCATCTACTCAACTGTTCTGTAGCTGCTACACTTACTCACTTACTTGCTCTTTGATGCACAGAGTCATCTTTCTTTGTCTTCTGGGAAATACAAACAAACCTTTTTATGCTGAGAAGTAGTTGATTTCTTTTTTTTAAGAGACTGAGTGGATTTTGAAATTAATTGACAGATGATTAACAAAGAGCAGAAGTGGCTAGARGACAAGAACCTCAATTTTTAGTTTAGCAAAGCCATAAGTGTGTTCTTTAAATGGGGCACCGACTGCTTAACAGACAATATGTGGTCTGTGACATTTGAGGAAGCATACAAAAGCTTTTACATTTACTTCATTCTGCCAAAATTATTTTTTGACCTGGCCTTGGTGCCAGTTTTACTTGTGTAAAAATAYTTTGGAATTATTGGCTAATGGCAAAATAAATACATGATCTCCAATCTGCTGTTAGTCAGGACTATAAACATGGACTTCATTGCATATTTTGTTGAGAGTTAAAGCTGCACAATATTTTATATAAAATTTTATTACATTATTGCACAAAAAAGGGCAAAATTCAAGGMTCTACTTGGATTGCAAAAACTCATAGGGCATTGTATTGAAAATGTAAAGGATTTATGTTTCAGATCCCAGTAATATATTTGACTAATCAGATGAACTCTAACTGCCTTTGCCTAMACCTAATTAGGATAATTGTTTTGCCAATGTTTATTTTGCTTTAGAGTTAGCAAAATATCTTACTAACCAATGATAAGACTAGGAAATAATTATTTGACACATTTTCAACTGATAAACTTGAGGAGTCGATCCGTTTCAAGTAGGCCACCACAGCCAGCTGAACTTTGAAACACAGCAATTGATAACTTCAGTAGTTTTGTATATGTTGGTGTGATAGTAGTGACGGTTAACTTCAACACAATCTCCTGAGTGCTAACATATCTCACAGGGTCTCACAATATCACATGAGATCGTGCATAATGTCATTCACAAGGTTGGACCAAAATGACTATTTTGTCCATCTCATCTCAGCATGAGGTCATTTCTGTTTATGCCTGGCCTGAAGGGTGTCGGGCAGGTTATGTTCACTGCCCTTTTGAAAGAAATGCTAGGCTTTCAAATTTAGATGATATTTGCTGAAGTATACAGATTAAGCTTCATGATAACAGAAGAGAAAAGGGAGGAAAATGCAAGTTAACTGCAGCTGGTAATTGTTTGAATTGTTGATTCAGGGAATACCATTTGTCACAGTAAAGCTTTATGTTTTTAATCAGTTAGCTGTGTCCAAAAATGGCTTGTATGTTTTGTTTTGCTGCCATTCAGGAAGATTTTCAATTTGAACAAAACAAAATTCAACATAACCTGAAAATAATCCAAATTCTCTTACTTTTTCTGATGTTAGCGCACTGATAGATGCAGAAGTAGCTGTGATGTTTATTTTTCTTTGACATTTGATTTTTTTAAAGGTTATATTCTTATCTACGTAGTTTAGAGATCCATCCTCATCTTGTTCCTCACTGTCTGTGTTCTTTCTCATCTGCCATGACTGTAATCTAGCATACACACAAAGACAGCCAAAGAGAAAGGGAAGCTCTCATTTTAGCCCCTTCTTCTTCTTCTTCTTCTTCTTCTTCTTTTTTGTCACAATCTGATAGTAGTTTTAGCTATTGCAATAAGTTGTGGGTAACAACATCAGTTTGATCAGTACTCTACGCCCCCACGAGGTTGCATGGACAAAAAATGTAGCTTGAAGCTGAGGAAACATGCATTTGCACAGTAGCCAGGCCTTCCACACAAAGACTGCTATTGTCTGAATGAAGAAGGCAGTGGCTGTGACACTAACCAATGAGTATCAGCCCACTTAAGAATGCTACAGAATTAACCAATAATATTGAGATGCCAGGGAGAGACTAATGTGTGATTGGTCTGGAGCAGATCTTACACATGGCTTAATTTTAAAACTGTAAGGATAATCCAAATTCTAATCTGGGGAAAGAATGTTTGAGTCACTTTATTCTTCAGGTAAACCATGGAAACTTGTTCTGCAACTTCTTTTGGTATCAGTCCTCAGTAATTATTGAAACATCCCTGGTTGACAGTTTGTGTGAAAGATCTGTTTGTCTTTTTGGCCGATTGCAGCATGTGTGGGTATTTTGTGGTGTTACACTATAGTTCAGCAGCTTCTTCTCCAGAGATTAGACCCCATCTTTATCCTCCACTACACTATGAGTCACACAGATTGCTTTGCTTCAGAAATAAAGAGGAGTTGAGGTGGTGTCGAATAGGCCTGGGTTTAATTTTTAACACTCGTGGAGATTTTATTGACTCAATAGCAAAGTTGTGAAGCTATAAGGTCTGTACAGAGGAAAAGAGAGGTTTCACTATTCACACCAGAAAAAAGTGACAAGAAAAGGGAGTGTGCTATGAGCAAGACTTAATTATTAAAACAAATATCCTATATTCAGTCAGAACTAACTTGCACAGTGCAAAATTAAAACACAGTCTGCACTTCCTCCTTGTTTGATTGACTTACTTCCTCTTCTAATCTTGCACAGCCCAGACTTTTTTGTTTTTGAGCCGAGTAAAACCCACATGTAGAAGTGCTGGTTTTTATTCAGTTTTTGTCTTCCAACTAACTGTAAAACCTTTTTTTGTTGTTGTTTTGGTTGACTGTTATAAAGAGGGAGTGTGTTTTTATCATCTTATCTAAAATTTGTCACGTTTGCACTGGTAAGGTGAATAGACGTTGGTTTGTAACATAAAAAAAAGCTGAAGTCAAGTTGAAGCCCAGTGCTTTTTTTGGCTTTTCTCTTTGATCATCCTCCTAAGCCACTCTGCCACTACATCCTGAAGGCTGATAGATCCTGCTGGTTGTACAGGAAGTGGTGAGCTTATGAGCTGCAGCGTGATGCAGCTGCACAGTGGGACAGACTACTTTGCAGAAAGTCACAGATATGAAAACTAAGATGCTTTACAAATATATTTCAGGCCAGAATGTGACTTTTTTTTCCCCACAACATAGATGAAGCAAAACGAATGCATCAATTTTGGTCATTTCATATGGAAACTTTATTGATGTTTGTGTGGAACACAGGAAATGTACATTAAAAAAATAAGGACGCAATTTCCTTTTATTCTAGAGTTTTAGACTATCACCTTCTGTTGAGAAATTACAAAGGTGTAACTGTTTTGGCCAAATTCTGAAAATATTGCTATGCACAAGCTCATGTATGGCATTCAATGTCACMATCTAAATATGTATTATGAATGACRAATTTYAGCTCAATATCTGGTGCTAATGCTAATGTTGCTTATCTGTGGTGGTAACCTTATATTGAAYGATTCCAAGAATTCAGTACAATCAAGGATTTGAATTAAAAGATCTTTCACAGTCTATTAGCATTGAGAACATGTGTTGGGGATCAGTCTCATTTGTCTACCACATCTAAATTTAGGTCAGTATTAAGCTGGAAAYATACTCCCTGCGAACTGCCGACGTCGGCACGGGTTGTCGCAGTTTAATGATGAAAATTACGTCACCGGGCTTCGCAACGTCGTGTCGACAGCCCCTTTTGGCACAAGCCCCCGGCAGAACTTTTGACCCCCCTCCCTTGTCGACGGTAATGTGTGACTGGTCTGAAGTGAAAGCGCTCAGACGGACACAGCAGAAGAAAAAAACAAAAACTCGCTTCTGACTAGAGCAGACTTGTTTTGAGCAGTTTTAAAGATAGACAAACCGAGAAAAACTCATGCGTGTTTGTGCCGACAGTGCTATGCGCTGCATTTACTTCAACCACTCGGTAAAAAAAAATAAAAATTGACTCGCTTCCCGAGCCGAMCAGGAAGCAGAGTTTTATAAAGATAGTCAAACCGTGAAAAACTCATGAATGGAGATAAACAGACATAACARATAAACAGGCACGGAGGAATCTGAAACTGTGGAGCTTTTTAACCAGGACAGATGTGGATAAAAATCCGTCGGGTGAGTGACTTTTTTTTCTGCATTGCTGTTGAGGGGAGAAATTCCATGCAGTGACGTATGTTTCAGCAGGAGGGAGGGGTTCCCCCGAGCTCGTCGGCGCAGTATGCAGGAACTATAAAAGGTCTGTGCRAAAACGACTGCCGATCAACCACGTGACCGCGCGTCGACCCGTCGGCGTCGGAGCGAGTAYGTTTCCAGCTTTAGTAAAATTGACAGCATGTGTGTTTAAAGCCAGTTGGTTCATCCAATGATTACTTTCTGCAGATTTCGTAAAGGTGAACACTAAATGATACATGTGCTACTTTGGTCACAGACACAAAAAAACAAACATGAGCAAAACATTTTCATAAAACTTTTGACAGTAGGAATTAATTAAAATAAATCACTTATTTTTAAAACCTTAGTGCTTAGGTCTCTAAAGTGAAAACTAAAATAGCAAATAGATGATGTAGTTTAAAGCAAGTATAATTTAAATAAAAATGCATACAGTTTGCATATTACATGTACACTATTAAACTGAGTTATTTGTGTTAAAGCCAATTTTCTAATTTAAATCTAAAAAATGAGTTAATTTCATCGACATAAGCAAAAAGTTATTTAGATGTCAAATTTTTTTATCTAACAATTTGTTGTTTATTTTACAAAATTGTTCATCAGTTAAACTGAATTAAAAAAAAGTCAATGGCTGTATTTTTCTCACATCCGCTCAAGCATTAATTCACCTTTTTTACACATCGTTTCCTCCCCTTTTTTCAATTGC